GTGTTACAGGAGCCCGAGATAACGAAACAACATCCCAGGTAGTCACGATTTCACCTTTAAAACTGGTTCATTCGAGAGTGAAGTTATGTTTACGGAAGCTGTCAGGAATTTCGCTTTGAAGAAAGGAATGAGAGGAAACGGTTTATTAACCTCGGCATTGCTCTCCGCAATGTGTTTTCGTGAATGGAACAGGCGGAGGAGATTCGGCATTAAATGGCCTGCACTCGATCAATTAGTGAAATGAACGCATTCCAAACGTATTCTACTTTGATGGCGTAGAGGAACATAAATCTTAGACATGGGTTAAACCGTGCCATTGGTGTTTGAATATTCATTCAAATTCCAGTGTTGCCAAGGCAACCATAGCTGAATACAGTCGGAAATCACGAATATTTTACCATGTAAATATTTTCGCTGGCTACAGAACTGATGTCTAAAATGCTTTCAGTGATTGTTAGTTAAGACTAACAGAGAGGAACACCACTGACTTGTAGATAAACAGTTCCGAAAATCTCTTCCACCAATCGCGTTGCGATGATAAGGTCACTAAAATGATAAAAAAAAATCCAAGGTCAAATATGCCAGGTATTTTCAATCTGTGCACCTGAAAAGTTTAAACTAAAGAATATGTGATAGATCAGCAATAAAAACATCTGTTGACCTTTATGTGGGTCGTGCTCCTGCTTATTGGATTGTTAAGAAGTGGTTAAGTCGATTTCAATCCAAACGAAGAACTTGGCTCTGGGCTACATTTCAACAAAGCCACCGATTAATAGATCGAAGATCCACAAATTATCGCTGAAGAGTTTGCCAAGAGACTCATTTTCGTCAAAGCTACTTCGTTTGGCCACTCAAAGCAGGCCCGATTGACCTTGGAAGTGACAGAACGCAACAAACGGAACCGCGTTTCCAAAGCCGTATTTCTCCTCTCGGCATTCAACAAAATGGGCCTTACTTGAATCACGTCATACTTGGAGGTGGAGACTTGCTTGTGTAGAACTGCTGGAAGCGTGGATGTGAATAAGCGGAGTCTTTAGTAATGGTTGAATTGCTGCGACCAGTGAAGGCGCGGTTTTTGTGTGTGGTGGTGGAATTTCAGGGGAACGATGCCTCGCAAGGATGTTCCACGCAACCAATCAATTACTCCGAAGAAGTTCTGTAACTCGCCGAGTTCAATTTTGGAATCAGAGCAGAATCCCCAAATTTTGTCAACGAAAAGCTAGAATCGGTCACCATGACAACGCTAGATCGTATGTCGCTCAACTGACATTGCATAAACTTAGGGTGTTAGAGGGGGTAATGCATTAGCACCAGTTGCATCTCCTTGACCTTGCCACCTCAGATTGTCATCTCTTTCGTTTTCTGAAAAACGCCTTAAGTAGCCATGTTACGTTTGCCCGTAACAATAGAGAATGCCACTCAAATAACGGTACCAGATCCCTTGCTGACGCTAAAACTGACCTTCCCAGGCTAATACAAGAACAGACCAGAGCTCGAGTAGAGAGCTTTATTCACGTCAGCCACGTGCAGAGAAGAAGTGAAATCGAAAGTGAAAACGAAACTAATTCGAGTCAGGGTTGACCTTGACTTGATAAAAAGCGTAATAAAACAAATCTTAGTAAATTAATGTAAATAGAATCAGAAACCAATCTTGGGGAATCGTGGATCCCCAACAAGCCAACAATTTGGCTCAATTCAAGACATCAAGTATGTCCTACATTATTCTTTTTCAAAAAGCCGCAAAACTTTGAAAGCGAATTTGTCAAACGTTTAAAGTTGGTCGTCAGCATTGGCGTGGCATGTACCACAGGTCAATAATTCCCATTTTTTCGCATTCATTGATGTGGTGCGCGTCTTGGTTTCAAATTCGCCGCAAACCTACACAACCAATCAATAGAATGCGCTTTAGCCCGTTAAAACAACGAACAATAGTCCAGGCAAGGTGTAATCCTCCACGATTTAAGTCTAATTGGCGCCTGATAGTTTTGTGCGCAAATCACAGGCGTAGCAGGTACCTTAACTGGCGAGTGTTTTTTGTTGTTAGCGAAAAACCAAAAAAGTAGGTGTTTCAGGGCATGATGCTTGAGCTATTTTTGGCACTTCTGCCTGGCACTCAACAAGATTTCCTGCTGTTCGTAAGAGAATAATTTGGGCAACTGGTAGTGCGTTTCACTGGCAGAATCGGGTCTAAACGAATGCGTTCGCACCGTTCACACATGTCTGGATCGAAAAAGTGTGTGAAAGTCATGCAACAAGCTGAGTCTCATTTATCACTTAACTTTCAGGAACTTGTTGACAGATTACATTTGCACGCTTTCCCGTGCTAACAAAATTAGTAACCGCGTGAGTGTGATTAGATACAACGAGGAGCTGTGCTGTGGGCGTGACTCACTGGCCAATCAGAGTTGGAAGTTTCTTGTTTAAATAAAGTTAGATCTCACCGTGTGTGCAGCGTGAGCACACTCGCATGTGGAAATTTAAAATCTGCAACAACTTAAGTGGGAAAAGGTTTGTAGCAATAGCAGAAACTATAGAATACACAATCAGAACTACGAGATTCTATGCAAGTGAACGCACAATTGTGTGTTTCCCATGGTATTCGATGTGTGCATGAATTTCACAAGGCCATTTGCAGTCTATTGCCTAAATTCCAGGCTGAATCATTCCATCTTCCACGTTCCAAAAGAGACAACAAATTAAAGCTTAAATAA